TCATTCAAATCAGGTGTGTCAAAGCAGGGAAACGAGTAAAACACGCAGGATGGTGTTCCTCAGGGACCAGGGTTGGGAACCACTGGTTTAAACAATCAGAACAAAAGCTAAAAATGATGCATGTAGATGTTAAAGAGTACAACGTTTTGGAAGAAATTGAAGTTCCACATTCAAGAAAACAACTTTAAATAATAATAGAGTTGAAAATTTACAGAAACACAAAGTCACAGCTGTCACGTCCTAAACAAACTGAACTGTTTGATACATGGATGTTTGAAACAGCTGAATGTACATTCACACATTGATAAAAGTGAGGGAGGGTGGACGGCCACAGTTCAGAGCTTTTAAGCCAAAGCACGGTTTCTGACATTTCTGTGTGGAGTTTGTATGTTCTCCTTGAACATGTGGTTTCCTCCCACACATCCAAAACGTAGATCACCTGGAGAATCTAAACTGACTCGAAGTATGAGCTTGACCGGTCGTCTCCATGTGGCCCGACGATCTGCCCAGGACGTACCCCGCCTCCTCCTCATGAATTGGTGGAAATGTCCTGTTTTTGGTAATTCACGTAACACTGAACTTTCATAAACGTGCGCTTTGAACACAGACTTTAGTGGCATTTCTAGGCATGCGCCCTAAAACAGACTGATGGCTCTCGTGTACATAAATCCATGGAGTTGGTTTGGTGGTTGGCATCCAGTCTACCTGGATTCAGAAACATTCAGTTTCACAGAGAACGAGGGCTGTTGTCGTGTAAACAGGGTTTCAGACTGACTGCCTGCATGCATGTCAGTCAAGTAACAAATTTCATAGATGGATGATAGGCTGACTTTTTTTTATTTATACCATGCGATCTATCCATACTGCCTTTGCGATCGCCGGTAGATCGTGATGGATGTATTGGGCACCCTGCTTTAGCCCATCACCTTGATTACAATTAAATTAATTCTTCCAACTGAGGTTGTTCAAAGAGAAATGTACTCAAGGTAAATAAGCAATGAGAACAGAAATATTTTACAGAGCAGCTTTACAAAACTCCATTATACAACTGAACTGTGGGTGCAATTTTCTGATATGAAACCCACCAGTGTTACCAGAATGACCAAAACGAGTTAAAAAGCAAAGCAGCTTTAAAAACATTGCACCTCATTTGTCAGGGGTTCCTGCGATGATTCATTGTGTCTGACATCAGTAACAGAAAAACCGGAGCAATGGAAATCTGTTCAAATGTGGTGAGACTCAATTTCCCCATTTCACAAGAGAACTGTGGATAATGTGTTGGACCCGGACCAGCAGGGGGTAAAATGGCTTCATCAGTCTTTCCGAGTCAAAAGTGTGGTAGAGGGAAACAAGCGAAACGTCGATGCATAACACTGACATTTTTTAATAGAATTCATTTATAACAAATGGAACTTGTGTCAGCAAAGAACTGGTTTTCTTACAGACTTCTTTTTCCACCAATGTGACCTAAGTAAGAAAATAAAAAGCACTCCTTTCATTCAGAAAAAAAAAGAAAAGAAACAGTTTACGCTTACAACTAATCAGAGGTAATTGTATAATCTTTTAACAAGCCATATTTTTTTTTTTTTTACAATTTCATTATTTATCAGTCTATGCATCCAGATGAGAGATAGATAGAGCAGAGAACACAATGTTTACTTCTGTTGATGACGCTCCAAGCTTGAATGGTAAAGCCACGAGAACAGATGGCCGAGGGACAGATTGGTCTGAAGTTGTCTGCTGGAGTTACCATGGCATCAGATAAGATAGTACCCCCCACCCCCTACTCCCCCACTACAAAGTTAGGTTTTTTTTTGTCTTTTTTCCCCACCGAAGAGTTGATACCGTTTCAGTGTTATTTACACACACACAAAGTGAATGTTTAAAACGTTCTTTTAAATAGATGGGTTCAAGTAATATATTATTGGGTTTCGAATCAAGAGGGCAGTGCATAGTACAAAGAGAAAGTGCAAGTCTTCCCTACTTTGACCAGTTTGGGCCACTCTGCCATTCTTAACCATGCATTTAGGGAAAATAAATAAACACAACAGGTGAGAAAAGAAGCACGCTCCGTTTTATGACAAAAAACTATTTGAGTCAAGGGAAATGAAAGCACCTGGAATGCACATCCATGAAGCCATTAGTGACGCAAAGTCGTAAAAATCTTGTCGAAGTTCGAAAAAAATTTAGGATAGTCAGGATAACGGAACTAGTATTTGCTTTCTCTACATCTGCTCTTGAACTCTAACAGTCGTGAAAAATGAAACCCTTCAGTGATGATTTGTTGCAAGTCCCGTCACCAAATCCACTTTAGAACCAGCAGTTTTTGCTCAACGGTTTTGTAACGCCCAAGAATGGTTGAAATTTCATTAACCGTACAGCCCGGTCTACACAACTTCAAATATTGTATACAAACAGACACCTCTGCTGTGTGTGCACTTTTCTCCACGTGCAAACGGTGTTTTTGATGGATACACGTCGGCACCCAGCAGCCTATTTTGTGCACCATTGGTTGCCTTGGAAGCCAAAACAACAAGAGCTTTTTTTTTAGCTTTTTTTACATTTTTGCCCAGATTGTGATCCTGTCGCAGTTCAACTTTGACTTGGGGTGAGAAGTTAATAACTGGGACGACACTGAAAACGTTGTCCAAAGAAGCACACAATGGTTTGAGGAGATTTTCAAATGTTGCACACTCAAAAAAACAAACATCTGTTCTTTGTATTTTGATGGCTATAGTAGCACGGTTTGGGTATTTCAGCAGATTTTTACTTTAGTTTTTAACAAACGAAGCAAAAATCGTAAAAAAAAAAAAAAGTTATCTAGAATACCGGAAAAACATATGTTTGAAAACTGCAAAAATTACCATATCTATTGGTTTGCCTGCTTAAGATAATGTAGCTTAATTTTTTTTGTACCTTTTATTTAGGGGGGAAAAATCAATTTGAAGCAGGCCGAAGTAATGTTGCATTGATGCAGTCTATTTCAGACTCACAAATCAACAAATCTATCTATTACTATATTTATTTTTCTTTTAAACGTAAGTTTAGAAAATGGAGAGGTATGTTATTGCTAAAACCAAAAGGTTTTAATCCAGGATTACTAAACTGAGTTAATTCACCATGTTTGGAATAAAGGCACGTCTGTCACACATTTATTGTGTTTAGCTCCAAGTCAACCCAGCTGAGTTCTTCGCCATGCCTCAGTGCTCGCTTTGTTTCTCAAAGCTCACGGTGCTGTGGAACAGGTGTTGAGCCAAACGTTGTTCGTGTGAGCACCGCCTTTTTGAGTCTGTCTGCGATACTGTTTCTGTTGCTTTAGTTCTTGAATTAAACAATATTCACACGAAGAGGTTTAATGATAATCCTGATTATAGCAAACGTGCGTCTCCTGTTAATTCTTATTATTTTCCTAAAACTCACAATCTCCGTGATGACATTTTTTTTTTTCTTTCCAAAAGACGGGGCCCAGACCAAAACAAGTTGGTTTCAAAACAATTTCTTAGACCAGTGGTTCTTGACATAAACCACATTTTTCTCAAGATCATTTGGACTGAGGATTTTTTTAAATTAAAAAAATGAAATAAAACTTTGTAAACAAATATCTGAAGTATAGTAGACGGGGCCTAAAGCAGCGTTTTAGGACAAAAACAATCAACTCAGCAAATTTCAAATGTTAACGTGAAACCAGTGAAATAGACTGTGTTACTTCGATAAAATCATTTAGACCAAGGTCGTTGTTTATTTTTTCCCCTAAACGAAGAAAAATATATATTAAAAAAAAAACTACTTGTAGATGGGGACTACTTTCCACCTTTGGCTTTGTACTTCATCCTTTACCGGTCTCTTCCCTGACTGACGTTTTTCTACCGTAATGTTTTTGTGGTGGTCACCGTTTAGTTCTAATTCACTCAGCCATAGTAAGGCCACTAAAAGTAAAATCTATGACCTCTGAAATGCTCTTATTTGCATATTTTATAATCTCACCGTATGACAAAATGAAAGGTAAATAAACTTTTTACATTTTCATTTACATTAAATGCCTACATTACTCAAAGGATACATTAACTTTAAATGAAACATTATAAAAACAGGCATAAATATAAGGCACTCTAAATGCAAAAACAAATATTTATATATTTATATTTCATTTCCACTGAATGCTTTAAAGAACCACAAGAAAGTGACGTCTTTGTACCTGTTGCCCTGTTGCGTGGAGCAGTGTCTTTAATTAGAATCTGTATTTAAAATGATGCTTTCACTGTCACCTTTTGTTTGTGTGGACGGGATAATAATGCCATGAGTGAGAAACATAGCCACATGAAACCCTACCTACACATGTATTGCACAAAAACAAAAAAAGATTGCACTGAATCAGAATAGTTTTGTCTTACTGATGTGCATTCCAGTGAAAAATATCTTAATTTCCTCCATAGCACACAACTCTTATTCTGAAAGCTTTCATAGACAAATCCCTTTTATATAACCTCTATGTATATATATATATATATATATATGTTATAACTATACTTTAATATACATATATTTGACTCCGTATACACCGTATAGACTTGTCCAATTCATCAGATTCTCTCTTATCACTGTAAAATGGAAGAACTAAGATAATCTGTAGCAGCAACTTCATACTTTGCTCATCCCTGTTGATTCCGCAAATCCCCGGTATAAAGATAATGGAAGTAATTAAGTTACCATGTTCATGATTGTGAAACTGGAACAAAAAACAAAACAAAAACATAAATAAAATGAACACAAACACACCAAAAAATAACTTTTAAATAAAGTTACTTTTTGGTAGTGTGAAGTTTTTGCACCAAGTTTGACAAAACGAACAAAATAAAAACAAGAAGTCTTCGCAAAACGGCACATACATTTGAACAGTACTACAGCTTAAAAAAAAACATGTTTTATCACTATTTTCCTCCAAGTGATAAGTTTGTGTAGGAAAAAAAAAAAAAATCACACAGTTCAAAAAAGCACATCAGTTGTTTAATAAAAGTACTAAAAAAACTAAATCATAGTTTTTATTTCATTTTGATGCCCCAAACTGAAATGATTAACATCGTGACAGGAAATAATTCATTATTACTTAGTCTGTCTTGCTCTTGTGGACCAAGCATCGTCTTCTTTTGCAATGGTTTCTCTGTGGACTTGATTGTGAAACAGATTGTATTTATTTTTTTTACAATGTGCATTGAGTTGTTTCCCTCTGCAGTTCTGTGTGCCTCCGTTGTCTCTCGTTAAGTTATTGATGCATTTCTGACGATGCCATTATTGTTTGATTACTCTTTTCTTGTGTTGGTTTCATTTAGTTTCATGAGCCCCCAAAATGAATCCTTGAAGCATAAAGAAAAAGTATTCCACGTGATGCTTCAATAGTTCGGATTCCCTTGCTTTGCACCAAGGCAAGGTTTTTTTAATTGGGGTTGGGACATACTTGGTCCTCCGGAAATGATCTCTTGTTTTTTGTTTTTTTTGTCAAGTCATGTCACACATCCAACACTTAAATTGTTAGCAAGGAGTTAAGGAGTACTTTCTCAAGCAGGAATTTATGGCTCAGAAGAGAGGCTCAATAGGATTTGTGTTTTTTTTCCTCCCAAAGGACCCTCTGCTCTTATCTTCCAATACTGGGTGTTTTACGTTGCATAGTGATCAAAGCTTCCCAAATATTCCAAGCCAGCTCTGTAGCAGAATTGGTATTGATCCTGAAAAGAGAGAAGACATCAGTGCCCAAATCCTCTGTCTTTTTTCCTTTTGCACATAATTGCCCAACCTTCTTTTCTACAGAGATTAAAAACAAGCGTTCTTAAAAAAAATATACAGAATAGTGTGATGACATGGGCAAGTATTTGTGAAATGATGTAATAAATGTACAGTGGAGACTACATTCATCTGATTCAGAGTCTAAATTACTTATAGCATTTAGCAGAGGCTTTCCAAAGAGTTTATCTCCTTGGTTTAAGAGAATTTGTAAAGTTCTCCAACAACATTCAGACAACGGTAATAAAATAGAATAACAAGAAGTGACGATGCTATTCCTACAAACACCTACAGAACAGTAACATCTCACCTCTGTCTGTACCATAGCCGGTCTTTGTGTCCGTAGCATCTTCACTGTCTGAAAGATGTCTACTACGCCCTCGTATCTCATCCGTTCCAAGACTATGCTTAGGGTGATGAAAACTCCAGTTCTACCAACACCCGCGCTGTGCAAAAGAGAACAAAAGGGCAAACAGGTTGTAATTTGTAGCCAGAAAGACTTTTCCATATGATTTGTGCACTCTCAATAGAAAGTTTGTTTTTAGAACATCTACGAAATGTTTAACTACGCCGGTTGGCCACCTACCTACAGTGGACCGTGATCGGACCGTCTTGGCCGAACTGCTCTTTTGTTTTATGTACTTGGCCAATGAAATCGATGAAACCCTCCCCTGATTTTGGCACTCCTTGTTCAGGCCAGTCTGTGAACTGAAACTGCCTTACTGTTCGTGACTGCCCATCCTGACACCAAAGGGAAAAACAAAAAGAAGAGCATTGCTCAGAAACTGAAGATCCACTTTTTTGAACGGTCTCAATCACGTTTGTTTAAACTGGAAGAAGACACCAAAAAAAAAACATTATTTTTTTAAAACGATGTCATTATACCTGAATGCATTTAAAATGAACACTAAGATGCTTTGATTCGTGACTCTTGACAGGGTGTCAGGAGTCTCGACTCTGAGGGTGTGCATCGCTTATATGATGTTGTATCCCCCCCGATAAGGAAAGCAATCCCATAGACGAGACAGTGCAACATTCTCTACAAAGGAGGCAGTCTGCAACATTTATCTGTCTGAGCCTTTGATGGAATTAAAAACTGGAAGCTCAGTGCTGCCAGCGCATTTATTTTTTATTCTTTGACATATGTCACAACTTCCGTAAATTTCCACTTACACTTCTGTTACACTTTGGGCCATCGTTTGGAATAAACAAATACTTGTGCAAATGCCAAACTCTTGCTCTAATGACTCCTTCAAACAAAATGTCAGCAATTACGGTCACAGCATTTAACCTTTTTATTTAAACTGACTTACCTTCAGGCAAAAAAAATATATGATAGAAGAAAATACCCAATTCTATATATTATGATTCTACTGGCTTTGATCATTTTTTGCACTAGTGTCTATTGTTAGTACCCAGGTATTTTAATGACTCAAGGATAAAACTTGGATTTTTGAGCTCCAGTTCCATGAGTTTTCATCTTTATTTGCTTTATGAAAGCAGTCTTACCCTGGCATCAGTCACTTTGAACTCCCTCAGGATATACTGGGGCATGTTATATTCCGCCATGGGGTCCACCACAAAGTACTGGTATCTTGCTGATCTTTCTGCTGGCCAGTACTGGTGGCATTTTTCCTGGAGAAACACACCATAGTCAGTCACAACATCATCTTCATAGACTTACTTTATTGAAGCATCACCGTATGCGTACCCTGCCCATTTCTCTAAGCTTGGTGAGCATGACTACAATAGTGGAGTTGTGCTCCCAGAGCATTCTCCAGAAGTCCTCTGTGGTCTCTGCCAGTGGTCCCTGTGTTGCGATGTAAGCCTTCTGTTGCCTGAAACCATGAGAGATAAAACAAAAATACATTTAACTGCTAGCATTTTTTATGGGTGCATGACATTTATTTTACAGATTTCTGTTATGTTTTGTATTCGGGAGTGTTTTAGCACTTGCCTGTATCCATCAATGAAACTGGCATTGATGTAGTCTGAGCCTTCGACTCCTCGGATGGGCTGAAGACACACTCGTGTGGACTCGTATGGCATTATGTTAACAAGGCGGTTCTTAAACTTGTTACAGGGAAGATTGGCACTGATGAATCGCGACGTGTGGGCTTTAGTGTTTGCTAAACGCTGCATGGCGAAAAGAGAAAGAAAAGAGACCCATGAGTGCAATAATGCCAGTTAGAGGCACTGATGTTGAGGTTTTTACTTTTTGTCCTGAGTGGCTTTGACAGAAAAGTCTTGCAACATGTGCATATCTTGAGAGTAAGAATGAATAAAAAAACGATCAGCTGGACAAAACTGTTTTTTAATTAATTGTATGTGGAAAGTCAAATGTCTGTGGTAGGGAAAACCTATGTTTAGCATTTTTTTTAATGTAAACTAAGACCAATGTGGCTGAAGAGAGAGGGGGTATGGAAGGGAAAAGCAATAAGAAGGAGTATATCATGTTCTATTACACAAGCAAGTGACCTAAATTAAATAAAGATAAAACCAAAGGCCCCATGATGTCTACTTGGGCCAAACTGCGTCTGGTGACTTGGGACACTAAATGTCGCAAAAAAAGGAAATACAATGTAACCAGGTTACACTGATACACAGTTTGTACCTTGAACTCGAGCTCCATGCCCGTGACGTTCTCCCCACCCTCTATCTGGGTCAGTTTCTGGATGTAGGCGTACAGGTTTCTGGCGGGCACTTCGGTGGTGCCGCAGTTGACGGCCTCCTGGAGCGCGTCATGTATAAAGACATACTGGTCTTCTGTCTGCACCATGTAGTTGCGTTGGGCACGCATTACTGTAACATGTCCGTAGATATCCACGGTCTTTTCGTGTTTGATACGCTCCAGCATGGCATCGATCACAATGAAGCAACCTGTGCGTCCAACCCCAGCACTGCAGTGGACAATGGGAAATAAGTTAAAAAATGCATAAGGCAACTTAATCTCATCCAACCTGTCCATCTTGGCAGAAATCGGGCTAAACTTCATCGGAAAGTTTTGTTGACGTTTAAAACCAGACTTAGATCCCAAATAGACACATTTAGCCAAGATTAACAAGATTAATCTACAAATTCCCACATATAGGAACCAAAATCAAGATCTCTACAGTCCAAGTGACTCATGCATGGTTAAAAAATGTGGGATGGGTCTATTCCACATTTTTAATTTCCTGGATATAACCCATACTTATAAAGACTAAACAGTTTAGGCAAAATACTTAGTAAATTAAGTCAGATACAAGGTTTAAAAAAGGGGCTACGCTATACTAAAACCCTGTCTGTCCATTCCTCATTGGGAATATGTGATGAGTTTATGAAGTTAAGTGTATTGTATGTATGAGACATCTTAAAACAATAGCTCAGATCTTCTATAGTGTTGCTTTAAGGAAAGGTCTTCACATTGACCACAGTTTTTTTTGAGAGTGAAGCTAAGACTGCATTATTCCACTTTGGTCTTTGGCAAACTTGAACTAACCATTAGCTCATAAATACAGTGAAAAATAAACTTATTCTCCAAACTGAGGTTGCTCAAAAGCATATGTTTTTGCGACTTGATGTACATTTGTATTTGAAATTCCCCTAAGCAGAGGAAGGCTTCAGACTTTTGAACGCCCCAAGCCAGATTTGCAATTTACTCTTTCACTCCAGACCCCATTTGTGCCTTCGACACAACCAGACCTTTTGCACTTGCGCAACAGGTACTTTTAACCTTTAGCTCACGCCTTTGAAAAGTGCCACAACTACAAAAGTGATACACGGCTGTAAATTAGAGAGGCACATCTTTGCCCACGGACTTATTAATGTGCTGGGCGACGATGGAGAAGTGCAGCTGACTACAATTAAGGCCATTAGCATAGCACAGTGCACCGAAATGACATGAAAGCTTAGTAAGAGGCACTAAAAGGCAGGTCTCTTCATTAAGATTCACACTGGCCTTTTTTTTTTTTTTTTACATTGTGTGAAATGTGCAGCAGGAGAAGAAAACAACAACTCTAGCAAAAAGGAGGAAAAGTGTTTTACTGTTTCACTTTGACCTCTCCTTGCAGGTCACACGGAAACACGCTGAATAAATGCAGCACGTTCTGCTGACGGCTCCAGAACACTCACATCTGCACATTACATGTTCGGACCAGAATAGAAGATGCTCTCTGATGATTATTTACTGAGGGCAACAGGGTTGTGTCGGATCTTGTTCGCCAACTCTCCTTTCACTTTCCACAAAGCTCGGCTTTGACAAGGCAAGTCCTTGCACATGGCACTCAAAGGTAAATAGGTAATTCAATTCATTAGGCTGACATGCCAGTGAGGTGTGAGCCGCACTCACATGCCTCCTCCTTCTGAAGAGGAAACGTTCGTGTTTTTATTTGCTCTGAGGGCACAGAGAAAGGGAAACTCAAGAGGCAGTTAAACTGGTCCCTCAGGGCCAAGTCTACCTAATGTGCCATGCTGCACTGGAAATGTGCAGCTGCAGACACACACGGGCGGATTTAGCAAATGGTCTTATGATCATTTACAAAATGTAAAAAAAAATAAAAAAAAATTGGCTAAACAAGATGTTTTTTTAAGTGCATAAGTGAAAGAAGAGGAAAGTTTGAGCAAAAGAAATGTAAATGCATCCCAGGGATATTTGAGGAATGAATCACTTCCAGGTCTGAAAGCACCTAAGCCCTTTGGGCTTTAGATAGAGAGACTGGAGATTTCCTCCCTTTCACTGCAGTTGAAAACATTTATGCTGCAGTCTTGAATGTGGGAGAGTGATGACCTGCTGGAGAGTAAATGACAGAGCGACAGCGCAGAGCCTGAGAGACGGAGACAGAGGAAGACGGGGAAGGGGAAATGGGGAGGAGAGTGGTGTTACGCAGCAGGAGAAATTCTCAGGCTTTTTTTTTTTTTTTAAAAGCTGAGCTGCAGAAATCCACATCAACAGTGTTTTATTCTTCACCTTTAAAAAAAAAAAAAAAAAACAGGAAATGCAAGCAACATTTGTAATATTCCTTTATTGACGAGAGATGTGTGTTGGTGCAGAACGCTGTCCGTACATTTGGCAGTTGAAGGAGTGCTGGCAGACTGGCTGCACTAATGACCTGACACTGCCTTTTCAGCTATTCAAAAGCAGCTGCCTTGGCTGTTGACACACACTAAAGTGTCAGACTAATATGCTTTCCAAGAGTTTAGGGGGAAAGGGCTGGGAGAGGAGGGAAAAAACAGTGTAAAACACAGCTGCAATGGGTTCTGTGAAGATAAAGCATTAGCAGCAGTGAAAGCAATTACATATGCATTGTTACAGAATCACTAGCTGTCAGCTCAACTGTCACCATTCTGCTGCTCTGCTTACAAAACGTGCACATAGATTAAATGAAACGCACCAGGACAACTGGTTTGCTCAAAACAGAGAAGATAATTCTAGTCTTTACTGTGGCTGAATACTTTTGAATGAGTGAACTGACAATTATTAATGAAGTGAAGGTGTAGATCATTTCAAAATGATTCTTGTCATAAAACGCAAGACGTGTTTTCTTCTTGATGGCTGAGTACGAGGGTGGGCAGAACGCTTTCAAGACATTCCTTTGGTGAACTTGTGCAGGGCTTAAACCACAGTGTCTCTTTTACTTATTTTTACTTATTGAGGGCTTCCTAAAGGGTTAAAAACCCAGAGATTCACATATTAGTGCAAACGCTCTAAACAACCTCTAATTTACAAATATTTCATTTTCACTGAGCCAAAATTTATTTATTTTTTAAAGTCATCTTTCAAGTTGTCTTCTTTATCAAACTTCCTGGATTATTCTTAGGACTTTGGCTGCTTTGTTGCTCATGTTCTGCCCAGTTCCTGCACCTTACCATGACAGTGGGTTGTTCAGCAATAAATTAGTGTCAGGATGAAAACACAATAGAGCAGATGACTTTAATGTCTTAAAAAATGGGAAAACAAAAATTCAGCTACGGGCCGACGTAAGTTGCGCCATCTTTAAGTCGATCATCTTTTCTGCCAAGTGTTTGCTAACCACTCTTTATTCACTTTGTTGAACCTAAACTATTTTAAAAATAAAGAAATGAGACTTTTTTTGTCAAAGTCTCCCTGTAAAGTTATTAAAGTATTATCTAGCTAATATCTACGGCATTAATTCATAAAGTTACAAACTAGTTAGTACTTCTGTGACAAGCTGTTAGGAAAGTGCTAGCTTAGTTTGCTAACTAAAGTCCTTTAGATTTTTGTTTTTTCAGGGTTAGTTAATCCCATTTACAACTGGTCCATCCATCGAGTTTAAGAGCATTTTGGTACCTGAATTATTCATAGGTTGGAGGTAAATGAAACAAACCAATACTATGAAACTGGTCAGGTACTGGAAAGAAAGCGAGTCAAAAAGCAGCCCATGTCTAAAGAAAACAACAGACCATTAAAAAGCTTAAAAAACTACAAATCAAGACCACAAGAAAGTCTGGCTCCGAAGCAAAAGAGAAATTATTTAAGACTTTGACGCAGTTTGTATACGTACAACAGTTTTTATTTTATTTTCAGAATACCTTGTGTGTCAAAACTCCACATATATGCATATTATTGTCTTGTCCAAGGATGCTTAGACACGTGGCAGGAGCAACACTGTTCAGAGGGGACTTGGTTAATCTCGTCCTCTGGGGATGTTGTCGGACATGAAGATAGTTTCTCTGGTTGTATTAGGGTTTCAAATAATTCAATTCGGTTTATTTTTATAGTGCTGTCGCAATAAGTTGTCTCAAAACAACATTCAAAAACATTCACATACATTTAAAAAAGCCAATAAGTAAAAGCCATCTATCAAAGGAAGGAAAAAGGCTGCTGGTATAGCAAATAAAACCCACTTCTTTAGTGAGTGCAGTTATTGTCCGACTGGTTTTAAAAACGACTTTGCAGCAAAGAAGAGTTATGCATAAACTCACATAGGCTTAAAGGAAGATGGTAACAACTTAAATATTCAAAACGAAGATGTTTGTGTAACCTGGTTAAAATGACACATAGGGGAAAATGCCTAGGTACAATCTTGTGAAAATTTAAAATGTTCATTGTATGAATTTTTGTTTCCTTCTGGCTGACTGGAAGCTTAGAGGTTGTAATCTTTTTAACATTTAATCCTTTTGAACTCTGCTGTAACCTTCCAATGCCTGAGTGTTTACAGGAGAAAACCGTCCACGACGTTGAGTATGGATGGAAATGTGAAAATGTTTCTGGGACTCGATTTTCTAAGATGTTCCCACCGCAATGGAAAACGCGTGAATGCATTTTAATGGATACTCTGAAATAACGCCGTGGGCGATGGATTAACCACCCACGAAACTCATATTAATCATGTTGCATAAGGAAATGCCACACAATTTAAATTCTTTTATGAACTTTCTTAGGTCTGCTTTGTAAGACAGATAATTACGAACATCCTTTTGATGTTCAGCAGAATAAAATCTCCCTATTGTCTATATATGGATTATTACAGATCAAAATTGAAGTGTAATAAAAATGATACCAATAAAAATAATACATTTTAAAGAAGAAGAATTTTTACTGGTCTGTAAAAGTTATAAAATTGACCCTCACCACGGTCTTACTTGTATATTCAGTTGCAGTCAGTCGCCAGGGTTGAATAATTTTGCAACATGCACCATCATTTATTTAAAAAAAAAAAACGGTGCAGGATTTGCAATTCATTATGGATTTTGTTTACTCCACAAAGGATCAAAAATACACTTTCACATATACACATTCACCTAAACCTTTGTAGAAACCGTCTTTGACAAGACTATCTTCAATACCAGTCCTGATTGGCTGCAGCTCTAAGTTTCTTTGACAGACAATGAACTGTGGTAACGGCTAAAACTCTATTTAGATCCAAGAAGAAACGTTCGAACAACTTTAGATTCTAAGGTCATTCGAAGTTCAGCATGTTGCACACAAGTACAAGTTATTCAGATGTGACAAGGTCCAGAAGTCCAAAACTGTCAGCCTCAGATGAAAAGAAAATGGTTAAGGTATGCAGGAACCACGACGGGTTAGGCCTGCTGTGAATTGTAAACTTCAACATCGCCATGAACAGAGACTACCAACCAAGAAACAAGCTCCTGCTCCAAAGTTCCCCCTTTAAGCTCAACTGAAATGTATCCATAGAAACAAAACAAAAGCTGCCAGAAGAAAAGTTTGATGGTCACATGAGATAAAGATCATTTGGCCACAATGACGAGTCGTGTACTTGGAAGAGGCTTTCAAACCTAAGAACACTTGGACATGATTGTGATTTCCAACAGTATAATGATCCCAATAACATCGAAACTGGTTTCTGAATGGATAAAACAGATTAAAGTATGTCATACATTTCTGTATAGTATAATTAAGGTTAAACATTTATGTGACAGGAAACTAATTTAAATTCTACCTGTATAGAAACATTTGACCATAAGCTTAATAGCAGTACAACGTGAATGTAAATGTTTGAGTCTGTATGTAAAAGTCCCTGTGGATTAGATCAAATCCACAGTAAATTCTAACATATATGCTCAATACTTGCTTGTAGAAACTAAAAACTAAAAGTTGTACGTTGTATGGTCATTCCACCGTTGAAAAAGAACAGTTTAAATTAAAGATACGAGTTTGTGTAAACTTGTGACCGCAACTGTAAATGGTTTAGTTTGTCAATTGTTGGCATTTACGATCGATTGTTTGTGGAAAAATACATTTTTATATGCACTTAGAAAAATAAAATACGTACCGATTTAGCTTAAATATTTTTATCTTGCATGTAACAGCTTATCCACCACACATGCCTAAAGGTATTTCTGCAAGCATGTCAATTTCACATCTCGCTTCATTTAGGATGGTGGTGAAACATGAAATTAGGAAAAGGCCCGTTGAAGGATTTGGACATGACTGTATCTGATCGGAAGCCAGGCAAATTTCAAACCCCAATCTGTAGCCTTTAGTTCCTGGTTTATTCATCTCTTATAATTTGAAGCAGTTTGCCAACTATCAGTAATTAACTTCAGCAATCTCTCCCCTTCCTGTTTTTTCAGTTTTTGACAAAAGTTTGCTTCTGTTACTCTCACTGTGACTGTTTATGAACGAGTTTTTTCTTCAGTGTTTCCCCTACCATTATCCAAGGAGGGCGCCCCATCCTGTCAACAGAACTGAACACCCTGCCTACAAAGGTACCTGGCCCCCCTTTGACGAAAGTTCCAACACTTCCAGATAAGGAGCAGAGATTGTAGCAACAGGACAAGTAGCTTCAACCTAGCATTGGTAACTTAGCACTCAGCTACCTCCACCCCCCATCGACAACCACTGACATTAGTAATGTAGCACTCTACTGCCGCTAACCCCCGCCCACCTCCTGTCCGACAAGCACCCTGCCAAGGCTAGTAATCGGAAACACTGTTCTTCTTTCTTTCTTTGTACTCCTTGTGTTGCCTGTTTGCCGCAGAGCCTTTGATGACTCCAGAAGTAGGGAGAAGCCAGAAAATTCAGTTTAATGTTTGAGCCCTCTGTTGGGGATTGAGGCTTCTTATGTAGCTGTTAGACGGGGGATTGGCGTGTAAGTCTTAGGATGTATTAAGCAAAGACTTGTGGGCTGGTGATGTGCAATGTTACTGATGCAGCATGGAATACGACAGGTCAGCCTGTATCTGTGTTGGTGTCGCTGTGTAGGAGGAGATTTTTTTTAAGATTGCCGAGGGGAATGACACTGGTACTCTTTGTGCTGCGACGCAGAAAACACCTTTTTGAATTCAAGGGGAAAACGGTGGGATGACTTGCTCGGCCTGTAATGCACCCTGAATCAGAAATTCTCCTTTCATCAGTAGTTTTTTTTCTTCTGGTTCAAGTTGAAACTTCTTGATATTATCATTACACAAATGACTAAAATATGAACCTCTAAATAACCAAGAATATCTTGGGTCCCCCCTCCTCCCCATACAGTATGTATTCATTTATTCATTACAGGAAATGGAGAGGAAAAAAAATCAATTTCATGCTTCAGGATATTTTTGCAAAACCATGTTGTTTTGTACCTGCAGTGCACCACCATGGGCCCCGCATCTGGGGGATTGCAAGCTTTCACTCGTCTGAGGAAGGCGAGAAACGGAGTGGGGTGTTCTGGTACCCCGTGGTCCGGCCAGGCGGTGAACTGGAACTGCCTCACCTCTCTCTTTTCACTGGAGCCATTCTGAATAGGGAGATGAGAGAAGGTAACGCACGCCGCTTGTGTCAGACACTTCAGAGCTGCGATGCGGTTAAATTGAACACTATGAAACAAAATCCTTACTTTGAAAAGTGCAAGTGTCCTGACGCAGTATGTGGCCAACTCCACTGTGTCTAACAATGTTACTTGGATGAGCCCGTACGTTTCTGTCCCTCTCGTGGGCCAGTATTGATCACATTTTACCTGCGGGGGAGAGAAATGTCTCGTTAGATTATGTTTGAATAGGCATTTAGGAATGCTTTATGTCCAAAATGTAGTGACATAAAATTTATAATGGTCCGTTTTTGCAATGTATTTCATGTTTAGGCAATGAGGTTCCCTATAACAACAATGTCAAAATAAATGTCTATCCCCCCTCATTCCTGCTGAGTGACTTTAATTTCCAAATCAATAAACTGCCTTGAGATATTTGTAAGCAGTCAACAGTGCTATTAATTGTCCCGACTTACTCTATAATTACAAATAGCCACATCGTCCAGTCATATTGTCTCAGCTTTATCATTTCTGCAGTCCACAGCTTTGTTTCCAAGTAAACGGACAATAAAACACTGTTTAATTGCGGCGTTACTCTTTAGCTGACAAAAAGAGGCTTGGCTCAAGTTGGACTGGAAATAAATAGGTTTCTCAAAAGCATTTGTTTTTCTCTCTCTACATTGGCCTTTGGCATTAATGGAGTTTATGTGGTAAATTGAACACAGGGAGCACAATCCAGTGCATCTCTTGTGCCGGCCCCAAGTCCAGGTAAACGGTGAGATTTGTGTCAAGGGAACAGCTGTATTTTGAACACGGGTTAATATCTGCTGCAGTTTTACATTTTTTGTGTTGTTCACTTTGACAAAACCACAAGACACCAGTCCATGGAATGGGGATATCTAGAAAGTGTAGCATCTACTAATAGTTGAGCAATGACCAATACTAACTGATATGACAGTCACATACTGTTATCAAGGTAGAATCACAATATGATATATAAATATGAAGTGAGGTAAGGGTTTAAAATAAACTGGTTGGGGGGATTTATCCTTATAAAATGTGATCTGAGAAGTAAAATTGGTGTTGCGGCTCATTTTTATCTTACAAATCACCATAAAAAGCATTTGCCAAGCAAAGTTTTATGAAAATTCAGTAAAACTTTCTGTAAACACAGTTGGCATTAGGCATGGGTTGACTTGAGGTCAGGCACTACAGTAGCCCCTCACTACTTTGCGGTTCGACTTTTGTGGACTCGCTCTTTCGCAGATTTTCAAAGTAAGATTGGACATGACACAATTGGCTGATTGATGGATGAACCGCACAAGCGGCATGGATTGTTTATTTAAAATATCCATCCATCCATCCATCCATCCATCCATCCATCCATCCATCCATCCATCCATCCATCCATCCATCCATTTTCTTCCGCTTATCCGGGGTCGGGTTGTGGGGGTAGCAGCCTAAATAGGGAGGCTCAGACTTCCCTCTCCCCAGCCACTTGGGCCAGCTCCTCCGGGGGAATCCCGAGGCGTTCCCAGGCCAGTCGAGAAACATAGTCCCTCCCGGATGATCGAGCTTCTCACATTATCTCTAAGGGAGAGCCCAGACACCTTGCGGAGAAAACTAATTTCGGCCGTTTGTATCCGAGATCTCGTTCTGTCGGTCACAACCCAAAGCTCATGACCATAGATGAGGGTAGGAACGTAGATCTATCGGTAAATTGAGAGCTTCGCCTTTTGACTCAGCTCTCTTCACCACGTCAGACCTGTACAGCGCCTGCTTCACTGCCGACGCTGCACCTATCCGCCTATCGATTTCTCTCTCCATTTTTCCCTCATTCGTGAACAAGACCCCGAGATACTTGAACTCCTCCAATTGGGGCAGGAACTCCTCCCCGACCTAGAGTGGGCACTCTACCCTTTTCTGGCTCAAGACCATGGCCTCGGATTTGGACGAATTGATCCTCATTCCGGCCGCGTCACACTCGGCTGCGAACTGCTCCAGTGAAAGCTCTAGATCACGACCTGATGAAGCCAATAGGACCACATCATCTGCAAAAAACAGAGACGCGATCCTAAGGCCACCAAACGGATCCCCTCAACACCCTGGCTGTGCCTAGAAATTCTGTCCATAAAAGTTATTAACAGAACCGGTGACATTTAAACATTTAAAATAAATGATTTTAAATGATTTATCACCTGCTGCACCTTTGTGCAGCCCACAGGTGCAGGGAGAAGCTCCCTCCTGCAGCAATGTGGTCATGATCTCCTCTCTGCCACCCACACATTTCTCCTCCATGCTGCAGAAGCTTTGCGAAGGGCTAACCCTTTGTTGTCCAGCTGCACCGATCGACTTCTCTTCCAACTTGAAATTCAAATTATCGTATTTTCCGGTATATAAATTGCAGGTTTTTGCATAGATGTGTCTGTCCAGCGACTTATACGCCGAAGCGACTTAAACATGTATATGCTTTTCTATATTCATAACACAATTTTTGACTGACACTTTAAATTTCAAAGAACTGCAACAGCGAGTCCTCCCGTGCACGCTCGCTTCACTCAGCTGGTGCAGGTGGAGAAACCCTGGAGAACTAGTGGCTCTGACCGTGATGGATGGATGGTGCCACACCACCCAGGCGAAATGAAGCTGTTTTGACCATTAAATAAATGTATAATAAACGCGACAGGTCAGCGGTGACACGTAAGGTGACTTATATGTTTTTTTCCTCTTCATGATGCTTCTTTTGGCTGATGCGACTCATACTCAGAGGCGACTTATACGCCGGAAAATACAATGTCACATCGTCAAATCTTCATAATTTACTAAATATAATAGTGTTTACAGTTATTTTTTATTATTTTAGAACTTCTATGTTCAGTTGTTGAAGTGTACTTGATCAAGAAGTACATTTCTGCTCCGTGCTGCAGAGCTGTGTCCTGCTTCTCTTCTCTACAATTTAAATACTGTAATATTTTAAACAACCCATGCTGCATGGATTGTATATTTAAAATATTACTGTATTTTAAATTTAAATTATTTGCACAGACGCAGGGAGATTGGGAGTGAAGATTGAACTTGGACTACTGTATCCCTGCTTCACGGTTTTTCACTTATTGCGGGGGGCGTGAGACCCTAAACCCCGTGATAAATGAGGGACTACTGTATTTTAACAATCTGGATTTGAAACCACAAAGATTTTAGTTCCGCTGTTCCTTCAGTTTAAAAATATTTTCTTTGTTTAAATGTAGAAAATTTTCTTGTTTGCACCGTTGAGTGCGACTTCCAACACTCGTTACAGTTGTCAGTTAATAATCATTTCAGCACACAATCAAAGGTTACTGGTGACCGGATCAGGATAAACAGCCTGACTGCTGCATCATTGTTTCTGAAATTGGATTTTTTTTGTCCACGTTTCCAACAAAACAGAGTTTTAAAAAATCTTTATAATTTTCACCACAAATTGTGTCCAGTCAAAAATTAAATTATCCATAGTTGTAGAGACACGGTTAAAATCAGCGCATAAAAACTAAGTGAAGCAAATGTGTGGATTAGGATTAAGTCATTTAAGAGGTTAAGATGAACATTAATCGGTCCGGCTTGAAAATGGTTTCAATTAGGGCTGCAACAACGAATCGATAAAATCGATAAAAATCGATGATTAAAAGCGTTGGCAACGAATTTCATTATCGATTCGTTGTGTCGCGCGATCATTCATCTTTCACGGCGCTGCGGAGCGGTTTAGTTTTGTTCACGGGCAGTTCATTGTCAATGCTGACTGACTGAATAAAGTTTAAAAAAAAAAAAAACTGCAGCGCGAGTTGAACAGAGCGAGGGGGGAGCAAAGCAGAGGCTGTTTTCAAAGGAAATTTAAGTAAATTTTACAAATGACCGACGCAGCGAAAACTGTTCGACCCAAGTCCTCCAAAGAGTGGGAGAACTTCACAAAGATGAAAAAATGAGAAGCGCTTTGAAAATCGCCGACACGACACGGGAGAACCACGGAGATAAACGTAAACATGTCGGAGTCACGAGGAGGAGGAAGGAGCTGCAGCTGATACGACTCGTCATGTGTTGCAGGTGAGTCTCTACAATTTAACACATTGTTCTGTTTCAAGAGAGAAAATGTAACGTCAGTCTCTCTGGTAGATGAAGCTGTTTGTTTGTTTGTTTATTTATCTGATTAATGACGGTGATAGAGAACATGTGTTACTTTTTATTTAATTTAATTGGTACAAGCAGTGTTTAAATGTGATTTATAAAAAAATCTAACACAAAGATAATAATTTAATGATTAAGCTTCAACTTTTAATTTGCTGGCAAAGACTGAAGACACTGCAGGTATGGCAGGATGAATTGCATTTAAACAGGAATTAAAGTAATTTATTACATCTACTCAAATGTGTGTAATTAAGTATTTTATATACGTGTGTG